GGAAAAAGATAGTATCATCAGCAAATTGAAGGTGAGATACTTCTACCTGTCCTTGCCTATCACCAACCCCCTCACACACCCTCTCCTCTCTGCCTTTGTTAACATCATATTCAGGACATCCACACAAGGGTGAACAGAAAAGGCGATAGAGGTCCCAGTTTCTCAACCCTCTCAAGACCTTAACCTAATCCTAGGATTTCCCATTAGCCATAACCACAAAAGAAAAGGAGGACAAACACCCTTGGATCCACCACCTCCATCTATTATCAGACCCTTTCTCTCCATAACCCTCTCCAAGACCTCTAATTAACTCGGTACTTTTAGCACCAACCTTTTACCTTTTAATTTCTTGGTATAAAAATTTCTCTACCTCCGACAAAGGCACTCCGGTTAAAAGAGATTGTATAAAATTTGCACTTAATTTAACTAAAAGAAGATGCAAAATTCTCTTTAAAATAGTAAAAATCGTTCTCTTATGGGGTTCCATGAGATTAGAAAAATTCATTTTAAATTTAATCAAAACATGTACTTTATTTTTTTCAAAAAACATTGAGGTGCCACCTAAATACAAAAGACAGAACATAAAATATGCTCATCCAAGTAATTGTATCACTGATACTTATTAGGTAACTGGAATTTTCTTGTACGAGGGTGGGCCTTTGTTATCCTAATCTTAAACAAATAGACATAAAAAAATGCTATCTCAAATAGTTATTATGTCACAGATAACTATCGGGTAATTGGGAATCTTCTTGGATCAGTGTAGGCCTTTGTAATCCTAATCTTAAACAAACAGAGATAATAAATAATAATGACTGACTATGACTCAAGTACATAACCATTTGAAAAAAGGAAAAGCGATTGAGTCTAACAATTTTGCAATCAAATCATGATTTAGAGCTCTACCCGTTGTTTAATGCTCTGCCCTGTCATTAATTAGTTGTTGAAATCTTGTATTAATGAAAAAGCCTTCATAGAAGTTTAATGTAGCCTTTAGATTGCCCAAGTGTTTAAGCAATTGTTCTCTTTTGGTAATACTTGCTGCCGTGGACAACACACGCTGATGTATTTAAGCCATGCAAAATGAAGAAACCAGTAGATTTTGCACCACTTCTCTTATTCAAAACCAACAAATAGAATTACAGCTTCATTCATCTAAGAGAGACCAAGAAAGAAGAAAAATTTAGTTGGAACAGCTCACGGAAACACTACATCATATTGAGCATGGCTTCTAGAAGTTCAGGAGCACAATCAGCACCTATCTTTAGTGGTGAAAAGTACATGCTTTTGTCTATTAGAAGAAAAATCGTCCAAAAAGCATGGATCTTTGTGAAATTGTTGAAGTAGGTGAGAATCCTCCTCCTCTGGGAGCAAGCTCCACTGTTTCTCAAATGAAACACCATATTGAAGAAGTTGCCAAAAGATATAGGGCTCCCTCATTCATTCCTTGAGCCATGAAGCCATTTTCATCATAGAAATATCATGTGAGAAAATTTTCATCATAATCATGTCCTGTGAGAGAAACATACAAGACTTGGGGACAGGATCAAGGTGCTCTAAAGAAGTCAGAAGAACACATAGATGTTTATATTCAAGCTAAGAAAAGAGGTTGAAGTTCTTTGGATGAGTGGTTATGAAACAGTGGAGTACAAAGACAAAGTGATGAAGGTTGGATCAAGCTCCTTCTGACAGGTAGCAACAAGAGTTTCATAAATAAGTTGAAGAAACTTAGGCAGAATGCTTTTAAGATGAGAAATGTCCTACTCTGTTAGGATGGAAGTGCATCAAACTAATAACGGCATCTTCATCAATCAAGATAAATATGCAAAGGAGGTTTTAACAAAGTTTTGAATGGAAAATTGCGACAAAACCTGCAACCTCTTGCTCAAAAATGAAAAAAAGAGTAAGAATTAGATAATAAGAAAATTGATGCTTGAGTTAAAGACGTATAGTGGATTGTTTTTCTACTTGACAATCAGTAGACCATCATATCTTTTGGCAGCTTATTCTCCAGATTCCTGCAGGATTAAAGTGAATTGCACTTCAAAGCTAACAAGAGACTGTTGAGGTTATAAAAAGAACAATAGACTGCAGTATTTGGTTCATGAAACATTTTAGTTTTGTTAATTTTGGAGAAAAAATATGAAATTTATTTTTTCACCCTTTATGTTCTTAGGGTATTTAAAGAATTCTTAACCTACTGACAATGAAATTCTTATTCTATTAAAATTCTAATTACAAAAAATTATTATTCTAATAAAATTGTAATTGCATCATTTTAACTAATAAAATAATAAAATATCCTAATTAACATCTCTCCTCAAGTTGGTGTAGCGATATCACACATATCCAACTTGCAGACCAAGTTGCAAGTCAGCGATAGATGCATGTAGAAGAGCCGGAATAATGACTAAAAAAGGCCAGTTGGAGCAGCTCGTGCGTGAAGGAAGTAGATCTTCGCCGGATTGTGGAACCAGCAGTGAATGCACACGAAGGAGCCAGAAAAAGGACCAGAGGAGGCCGGTTAGAGCGACTCGCACGCGGAGAAGCCGGATAAGCGCCAGTTTGCGAAACTAAAGGCAAATGCACGCTGAGGAGCCGGAAAAAGGACTAGAAAAGGTTGGTTGGACCGGCTCACACGCGGAAAAGACGGATCGCAAAATCAAAGGCGAACGTGCGCGGAAAAGCCAAAAAATTAAAAGTTCGTCGAAGTGGCTCGCGTGCGGAAAAACCAAACTAGTGCCAGTTTGTGAAGTGTCCGGATCTATGTCGGCGGCAACCCAGAAACGCTCTAGAAGGGGG